GAAATTTACAATAAAGATTTAAATTAATTAATAATAAATAATATAATATTGATATTTTTAGTTATTTAGATTAAGTTACCTCAAAAATGACTTAAGTATTTTATTCTAAAAAGTTTAAGTTGATATTTTATATTTTATGATAAATCTTATAATTTGTTTATTTCTACCAGTAGTTTTAAAATGAAATGGATTATTTATATTTAAAATTTAGATTAATAAATACTTAGGTATATACTTTCTTGATGATTTCAAAATTAAAAAACTCTGATATTGAGTAAAAAGGATTATTTTCAAACACGAGGCTTAAGTTTAAAAAGTTTTTTTATTTTTTCTATTATTTTGATAAATATGATTTTAGAAATCTACTTAGCTATAACAAAATAGCATAAACAGTAATTAGTAAATCTTTGTTCATTTGCTTTAGTACCAAGAACAGCATATGTATTAATTAATAAAAAAACAATATACTCAATTTTTATTATTGTAAATTTACTTTTATGATGAAAAGACAGAAATATAAGTGATTTTTGAAACACAAATACAATGTTTCAAATAAAATAAAAGATAGAATTTACATGAAAAATCATTTTCAAACCAATAAGCTAAAAAATAATTTATCTTAATACGAATCATAAATATTAATACTTACCAAAATTTGATATTTAATTTCATCAATAAAAATTTATTATATTTTAAATTAATAATTTACTATCAAATACCAACCGGAATTAAGCCAGAAACAATGTTTTTGGTTCTAATAAAATTAAACATTGTAAAAATTATAAGTTATTTAATTTATGTGTGTTTTTGGTTTTCGTAAAGATTCTGATAAAAGTAGAATCTGGATGTGGTTTGGTGGATCTTATTACATTTTTAATTGTGAATTATGTAGAAACTAAAAAAAATTAAAGAAATTGTAATTTTGTGGTAAATTTTCGGTTTGCTATGAATTATTTTAAAAATATAGATAACATACAGCAACTAAACTCATTAATTTATAAAAATAGTCAGATTATATTTATTGCAAGAATTGCTAATAAAAATTTTGTTTAGAGAAAAAGAAGAATCAATTATTTATTTCTACTTTTATTTGCATTCATTCTGAATAATAAAAAAACAAACTATGCAAATTATGTAGAAAATTAGTAAAAAAAAAAGCATATAAAAGCTGTTAAAAATGTTCTTTATAACTTTGTTTTTTTGATATTAGTAGAAAAGTAAAATGTCCTATTTGTTAATTTGTTTGCTGTGAATTTTGTTAACAAGAATAGCAACTATTCTCCAAAAAATAGTGTAATTGTAAAATTATAAAATTCTCTAAACATCTCATATTTTATTAAGGTTTAGCTTTTCTAAATATTGTAATATTTATATTGGTTTTAATTTTCTCTTCTTATTTTGAAGAATCTGACTATTACAAGTCAATAATATGTACAATTAAAGATGGATATTCAAATGAAAAATGTACCATTGAATAAATGTATGAGGATACTAAAAAATAATTAATAATTTTAATTGGTTTTACCTGTGTAACGACATTTATTGTGACTGTTTTTATTGAGAGCATCAAGATGATTTTTGAAACATAGTTTAAGTTAATGAGAGCAAGAAGTTAGAAATATTGAAGAATGTTTTCTAATGAGAATTAAGAAAATTTTATTAAGAAGTAAATTTTTTTAATTATTTAAATAAAAAATATAAGAAAAATATTAAATATATCATGATATTTAAAATAGCAACTCTTTATTTTTGTTTGCAGATTTTTTCTATCAGGAAATTTTAAAATTCTCAAACCAATCACTTATTAAATAAAATAATAATAATGAGAAAAATAAATAATGAAAAATTTTAGACTAATTTCAACTCAAAATTTGAAAATCAAACTATAATTTTAAATTGAAATCTTAAATTAGAAAATAGAATTTATATCTTTTATTTTAAGAGCTTACAAAATTCATAAGTTTTGTTAGTTTAATAAATCACTTATTGTATAAGGTTTTGAATGTCATTTAAAGTTTATGAATTTAAATTTGGATTGTTCAAATAAATCTAATATCTAAGTGGGCATTGGACTAGTTTCTAAACTTTAAATTTTATGAATTGTTTTATTGTTTAAATATTTATGAATCAGAATTATTTTGTATTTCTCTCTTTATATAAATCTGATATTTCATTTTTATTTAAAACTTACACTGGGTAATTTAAATTAATAATGTTTAATAACTACAATTATTTTTACTATCAAAACATTCTTTTTAAATATTTATTGTGCATGTCGATTTCAAACATTTATCTATATTAAATTGTTGTTAATAATTGATAACAACTAATTAGAAGGTATTGTTTAAGTAGCAACAATATCAACTTAATATTAATAATAATTTTTAGGTAAAAATGAATATGACTATTTTACAATTAAACATGGAATTAATTTAAAGTTTTCCTTTTATTAACAACATCTGATCGATTTTAAGAGTAACAAATCTATATTTTACTTCAAAATCTTTTAATTATTGTCAAAAAGTCTTATTTTTTAATCATAAATATATATTTGTTATTATATAAACCAAAAGATATATAGCTCCCTTAAGTAATGTTTTTAGTGTAATCAATTATATATTTGCTCAAGTTCAAGCAAATGCTTAAGAATTAAGAAAACTGAGCTAATACTCAAAACTAAATCATTTTTCTATTTTATTGGTGCAATTTTATTTAGATATACTTTGATTTCATTATTATTTAACTTTATTATGTGATTTATCATTTTTAAAAATGGAATTTAAAGTGGATAATTAAATAGATAGAAATATATTTTCAAATAAAATAAGAGAGGTGATTAAGAGATGGGAACAATTCTTTCAAAAGAAGAGGAGATAAAAAAGGACAGAATGATGATTTATTTATTTATTTATTTAAGTATTAAAAAATTATATAATTCTATTAAATAAATTTAGAGAATAATTTATTTGATTTAATATTATTATTTCTGTTAATTATTTGATTCAATGATAAACTTATTGACAATCATCTAGGTGCTACAAATTCTAATCAATAGGAGATTTAAATATCATCCATTGTTTTAACTTTCTTTATTATTGTTCCCTATTAACTATTTAATTGTATGCAGATATAAAAGTATTATTTTCTTATCTCTGATTTGTTTTCTCTTCTCCTCATTTATTAATAATTATGTTTCTCAATTAAGTTTTAATAATAATTTCGTTATCCTTTTTAATGTTCAAATAACCAAATTTATTCTAATAAAATAAATAAAGAAAGGATTCATCATTTAATTTTTTATGTTAATATTCCTTTTATTATTATTAATCCTTCAAAAAATAAGTGAAGGAATGGAATTNTATAATATATTTATACAAAATAGATATAGCTCTCCTAAATACAAATTTTCTTTTAGGATATTATCATTTAAGCAAAATTTGATATTTCTGTTGAAACTTCTAATATCATTAGGAGAACTTTTTCTCTTGCTTTCATTGATTGGTTTGGAAATGAAATATTTTAGCAGAGTGAATTAAACAAAATAACATTGAATTCTATAATTTTATGGTAATTAAATTTCCCTTCTCCAAATGATTTAAATTTGATTATAAGTTCATTTAGCTATAACTTTCTTATTCAAATTCTCTTTCTACTACTCGATAAGTTCAAAATACATCTTTTACTTAAATCTTGCTTAATAGTATCAAAAACTTATTTAGTAGTCTTATCTAGGAAGTCAATTTGCCAAGTCTAAAGTCCTATATATAATCTATCTTTATTGAATACAATAAAGTTATTTTAGTTATGAATTTTAATCACCTATTTTTTAAAGAAAAAGTAATAGAATTTGAATTTAATCTGGAATAAATTTATTTATGGAATTCAAAAATTTGTTATAAAACATTTCTTATTTTTGAGAATAATATTTTTAAAATACTAAACTAGCAAAGTTAAATAATTAGAGCCAACAAGATTTACACATGACGAAAATTAGAAAACACTTACATATATTTGTGCAATATATGCATATTTCTATCTAGTTTGGACAGAGCTAAAAGTTTTCTTAATATCTTACTACTCTTATTTAAATTTAAGTATAAATTTTTAAAGTCTTTATTATTTTATCAATTGTGGAAATAGATTATAGAATGGTAAAATTATTCTTTGATTTTTCTAAATGCCTTTTTTAGTCTTTATATTGATAAAAATTTTTAAAATAATTTAATTCTGAATATTCAATTTTATTATTTTAAATAGATTTATCAGATTTATAGTAATCTCATGAAGAAAAACTTACTATTAAAGTAGAACCACACCATAAATGTGCATTTTTATCCATATTCAAAATCAAGATTTAAGTTAAAAATCGGGGATATGTAATTGGAGAAATGAAAATTGTGTAATAGGATCAGAATTTTAATTATTTAGAACCTTTACATAATTTAAATGATAATAAATTTTAAGGGAAAAGGATAGTTTAGACATTGAATTTAAATTGAAATTAGATTAAAGTGTAAATTATATAAATTAAGTTGAAAAATTAAGAATATTCTAGTGAAAACTTAGAAATAAAAAAATCATGAAAAATGTTGAAAGTGTTGCAGGATGTATTTTTGATAATAATATATTTGAATGTGGGTATTTATTTTCATATGGATTGTGTTAATCTAAAAATTGATGTTAAATACTTCTGTCTACTAATTGTTGTGAACAATAAATGAGTTTTATTAAGTGTACACCATGATAATTAATTGTTTTCAACTAATATTAAAATAAATCAAATACAACCCCCCCTTAATATATTATAAATTAATTTTAATTGATAAATTTTAACAGATTATAGACGTTCATATTAAATTCGAATTTTTATTTTGTGTTGTTATTTTTGCTTTTGAAACTGCATGAAACAGAGTATTGCCTCACAGATTCAAAGAGAAAGGCATTTTGATTAATTCAAGGTTACATATTGGGAAAAAAGCAAAACAGGTTATTTATTGGCATCATTAATTATTAGGATTGTAATCAATTACTAAGGTAAATGAGAAGAGAAGATGACAATAAAGTATGTTTCTATAATGATTACGTAATTATAAAGTAAATAGTATTTTAACAAAAAAAGAGCTAAATGGCAAAGGAATTAAGTATGATATAGAGTATGGGTTTGCCCACTAGAAGGTTTATTT